CACACACACACACACACACACACACACATACACATACACATACACATACACATACATACGCACACTGCTCCTTCTTTTCCAGTTTCTACTTACTTTTTTACTTTTACTTTTTGATCCTCGGTTGAAATTAACCGTCGAGGGCAGTTTACTGTGGCAGGCCAGCTCCGCAGCTCTTTCAGTTGTGATGTTGTTTTCTTCGGTTTCCTTGACATCTTCGATCCACATTTTGCGTGGCCTTGCTCTTCCTTTATAGCCCGAGTGCTTGGTGTTGTAGGCTCTCGAGGCTGGCAGGTCAGCTGACATGCGTAACAGGTGGCCAAACCATTTTATCCTCCGTCTTCCAATGTAAGGGCGATAACATAAAAGGCAGGACTCAGTGCCGATAGGTGCTCTTACTTCTTCACTTCTCTGCCTGCCAGTTTCTGAAAGTAATATATTGCTTATGAAAAGCGAAACTTAATCGGATTTCTGATTTATATTATATGTGTGTGCAAGGATAGAGGCTAATAGCTTTTTATCATTTAAGAGTACGCAACTGGAAATCACTGGGAAAGCAAACAGAAAAACTAGAACGATTCTTTCATTCATCTGGACCATGGAAAATCTGGAAATAACTTACGAAGAGAGTAAGAATATTTCCTGATGACTAGCCTTTTTGGTCGCCATGAAGACACCAGACTTTAGTGTACAATTTTAGCTATAAACAGTACCACAAATGGAAAAGATGAAATCTTCATTTTATATTCTTGAAACTATAATAGTAGCGCAAATTCTGATGTTTATAATATAAAACTGCCAAATTTCTAACAATGTCCACGTGCATTGTCAGCTTGTGGAAGGAGTATCAAAGGAAACTTTTCCACATTTTGTCTGCATTGTCTCAAGTCACCACTGATTCTTCAAATAATGGGGAATAACTCGTGGTTGATGATCACTTATTTAAACTACAGGCAACCAAAGAATTATTGATTCGTCAAAAGAGCAGCAGCATAAAACACTGAAATCAGATTTTTATTCAAAACGGCATGACAACATACATCACATCTTCCATATATTGTTACAAGGGCCAATGAGATAGATTTTTAAAAAGTATATTTAATTTATTATTTTTTGAAAATAGAAACATGTTTTAAATTTTATATAATGTGTAGATA